TATATACTTAAAAATTAAAGAATAAAAACACGAAGGAGAAGTGCGAGACAAAACAAAGATTCGCGCTCTGCCCGGGATCACCCCCATATATTTTGAAAGAGGGGACGAAATGGGGGAGGGAAACCGGGAATGGTAGAGGGGGGTGAACGAGAGGGTAAGGGCGGATGCTCCATGAATATCCAATTTCAACGGCGAGTTGCACATTCTTTCTAGTTTCGGTCGGATAAATTTCACTTCACAAGGATGCCGATGAGATGCTCTTTTTTTTCGTTCTCGATGAGGAACGACTCGGTTTCCCCCACCTTTATCTTCGTGCCGGCGAAGTCAGGTGCGCACCCGAGCCACTCTTTCGCATGAACCTTGGTGTTTTTATTTTTTCAATTTAAAAGAATACTTTTTTTTTTTCCTCTTTCGTTTACCGGTTCAAATCAGGGAAACCGAAGAGCGCACTTCGTAGAACGCTGGCTTCAAGTGTACAGGGTGATTTTTGAAGGGTGAAACTAAATTTTTTTTAAAAAGCCTTGAAGGCTACATTTATGCGGTTTATGCAGGTGAGTTACACCATATGGTTACACGTCTAGGGGGACATAGTATAGGGGGCTAATCGTAACGATCAGTCGGCTAATTAAGTAAACTTTGTTAATTAGCTTTTTTTTTTTAATTTGTGAAAGTAGACAGATGGTTTCGATTCGAAACTGGCACCACTAAATGAGCACTTTTCAGAAAGACTTTGAGCGCGTGAGAAGCGCAGTAATGCGCTCAAGTGACCACTGGTGCAGCAGGGGCAAGGCTGCCGGTGAGGCGCCCGCCCGATTTTCCCGCCTCTCATCATAGCCTCGTACCTTATGCACGAGTGGCAGCTTTAGCGCACTACTACGCTTCCCACGCGCTCAAAGTATTGCTAAAACATTATTGATTTCGTGGTTTTGGATGATGCTCAGCAAGTTTCCAATTGGAAACATATGTCTATTCTCATGAATCAGAAAGTTAATAAACACATTTCACTTAATGAACCGACTGATGGTTATGATTAGCCCCATATACTATGTCCCCCTGGTCGCATAACTCACCTGCACAAACCGCATAAGTGTAGCTTTCACGGCTTTGTTTTTTTAAAGATTAGTCCCACCCTTAGAAAAAAAAAAAATCCTGTATATACATATAGGAACAAATGTATTAGCTGCCAGAAAACACCGGCAGGCTGTACGACGTAGCTATTGAAAACCCAGCGCGAAGTACAAAGATTTAGAGCGCAGCTCTTAGGCGCCAATTTCCCGGTTGAGCGGCGTCGCCGTCGCCGTAACCGCGCGTTGCATTATGGGACGTTTCCCATAATGATGTCACACGTGACGCCACGTGTGACGTCACGAGGGTGACGAAGGTCCCTCGTGAAGGTCCTTCAGAGTGTAGGTCACGACCTCCACGAGGGCAAGTGTGACGTCACGAGGGTCACAAGTGACGTCACGAGAGGGGTGGAGGAGGGAAGAATGAGAGGGAGGAGGAGGAGGGGCATACCCTCCTCTCCGTACCCTCCCCTCTTCCTCCTCCAGAGCTGCGCTCTAAATCGGCATTGCAGAGGATTGTAAACGTCTTTAATTTTTTTTTTTTTGATATCCTTCTAGCTTTTTTGGTGTTCAAAATCCTTGCTGCTTTTGGAGTAAATCCTGGCTCCGCCGTTTATTCAATGACTATCCTTCATGTATTTTATACCTCTCTCCTGCTACTTTGTGCGCATTATATGCGCCACGTTTCCGGACAGGTGCAGTCAAATTGGCCCACTCGTCAGTCATGCAGACCGTAGATTTGCTCGAACAGAAAGCGCTCTTATTCGTTTTTCTACTTGTTACAGTTTGTAACGAGTAGGAAAACGAACATAAATGACTTCATGGAAGCCTTTGAGGCGCATCCTGCGAGAAACAGATTTTAACGAAATTGACGAAAGTCCTTCCCCGCCGTTACGCGTTTCCCGTGCACAAGGTGACGAGATGTCCGGCTGTGACCATGCAGTTCCACTCTGCTCGTGGCGACTTCTAAGCATTCGAAGGGTGGAACAGATCCGTATATCAATCCTCGTCAGCACCAGACTAGCCAAGTCACTCCCGACCGTGGCCTTCTGCGAAAACTCAAATGAGTAACACTTGGGCGTGTTCACATTCCCCACGACCTGGCAACCTTTCGGAAGTAGAGGATGTCACAATGGAAAGTCTCTTTTCGGCCTTGTCTCCCCTTATGCGCGCTGTTTCCAAACACCTGGTGCACTGCGCGTGCGCGGATTTGTGTGACGTAAGGGCCATGCGCAGTGACGTCAGAGAGGAGAGACCGATCTCACTAAAGGCTCTGAACTCCGAAGTCTAGCGCAGCGAACGCAGCCTTTCATTGGCCGGCAAGCAGGAACTCGATATCTACGACCAAGCAGTAGAGAGTTTTAGTAGATCGTTCCGATGAGGCTTCGATAACGATACCCGATACTCAGCCATCACCTTTGCGCATGCATCGTATCGTTATCGGGGGTATCGGAGCGATCTACTAAAACTCTCTAATATCTGCGCGCTATGCCTGGTTTGCTACAGATGGGCCTATGAGCCCACACCCACGATTGCCTCTACTTCCTCTTCCGACTACATCGCCAACACACACAAACGCATACACAGGCTCAACGCCCGAGTGTAACAGAGCCTCGTACCACGCATGCGTGACGCCGCCATATACTGTAGGTCATGGCAGGCAGGTGCACGAGACAGCTCGTGCTGCCTCGCCTTGTTCCGCTCGCGCAGACCCACATGTACGACGAAACCGTCCGATCCGACGTCCGATCAGGCAATACGACGGTCGGAGGCGAGGGTTTTCGACGCTCTGCGGTGCTACGAAAACCCTCGCCCCCCGAAGGTCATTCCGGCAGTCCGCACGTCGGATCGGACGGTTTCGTCGTACATGTGTGTTTCGCGCTTTAGCGCGGTCGCCGCGCGTGCAAAAAGACTAAAGGCATAGCCTCCTCTATACTGAAAAAGCCCGGCAGATCGCCACGAGAGGCGGCTGCCGAAATTGAAAAGGTAGAGCGGCAGACAACGGATGGAAGTCACGTGATGGGCGCCCCGCTGCGGCGAGACGCCGGAACACACTTCTCCCGAGCGATGGAATGTCCGCTCGTGCTCCTCGCCTTCCTCGCGCACCGCTTCGTTTCTCGTCGGGTTTGAAAACCAAGTTTCGGGTTAGCGCAGCTGCAAAAGCTGTGCGCCCAAATTCCCCGAGAAATGTTCAGTGCTACCAGATCCTCGCGCTCCAAATCTGCGACCGCGGGCACTCTATGGCTCCGTCGTCGAACTGCCAGGCTTTGCGAGTAGAGAGGAGGCTATGCTACAGTCTGCCAGAGCCGTATATATAGAGAGTTTGGCCATTCACTGGGAAGTATATGAGACAAATGAAGAGGCGCCATTGGCTGAAAGAGTGCTGGGCGTGTTCCAGAGCGTCTTCACAAATTCGAATGTGATAACCCAGAAGCCGGAAATAGTATACCTGGCGGTGGTCGCGAGAAACTATAATAGGTGCGTCGGAGTAACTCTCGGTGACTGAAAATATGGAGCACGTGATGTTCCTATCGCGGTCATCTAAAATCATGGTGGAAGAGTGCGATTAGCCGAATGATCGACATAATCCGTATACGCCAGGCGCCGAGGGCCAGGGGCCGGGGATCTGCCGTCCAAGCGGTCACGCACTGTCCGTGCAAAACAGAGCTCAAGTGGCACATTTGTTTCCTACATCTTTCTGCATGATCATAATCGAAACATCACGTGCACCCTATTTTCAACCATGATGGGTTACTGCATTTAACTCTTACGCGCTTATTAAAACGATATACCCATGATTAAAACTGTTTCTCGCTACCACCGCTAGGGGACTCTTTTTGGCTTCTGGTTGGCTAAGAGAGCATGGCAAGCCCTCTTTCCGAGTCTGGTGCACGCCCTGCCTCTGCCCGCGCCTCCATTCATTGACCAAACTCTGTAGGCTGCAACATTCAAAGTATCCGATTGACCCGTTCGAAAACCTTCAGGTGGGCACCCTTTGGCATCCGCAGCAATGTTGACACCTTTTAATATGTGTGCGAGGGCACAGCGAGCCAGTCGGTAATAGTTAGTCAATAGACGCATGTCGGTCGAGTTCTAAGCCCAGGAAGAGCTGCCATACAGCGGAGCTTGACTCGCACGCCAGGTCCTGCTTGGTGGCGCCAGAATCGGTTACACGTGACGTGAGCCATGCATACAAGGACGTTTCAACAGACAGGACCCGGCATGACGTCAGCCTGAGTGAAGCCGGAAGAGGCGTCCCAGACTGCCTTGCGCACCCGTTCCGAGGCCGTGGGGTAGCGCGCCGGCGGTTCGTCTGCTTTCTAATCTGCTCCTGCTTCACGAGGCTAGCTTTCGATGCGGTCGGCGTCCGCCGTGGGCGTCCACGATGCAAATGCTTTGCAGCGTGAGTGTTTATACTTAGTTCCACATTATGTGCGAGCGAAGTCAGAACTGGAAGCGCGAGCCCGTTGTTCTGTGCGCTTCTGGCTTGCATGCGCGCTCGTGCGATCTGTGCACTGTCCAAAGCTGTACGCTCGTGCTCGAAGCTCCGGCTCCGCTCGGACCGCTCGGACCTACGATTCCTCCCGTTAGGCGCTGTTTCAAATAACAGTGGGTGCCGCCATTACTTTCGGTGCACACAATCGCGTTGCCACGGAGATGTCATCGCAACGCGGCACCGAAATTAATGGCGGCGCCCACTCACTAGGCTTCCCATTGCTCAAGAAATGCTCGTTGCGGCTCGTGGTTACGCCTACTTCCGTTACACTTCGCCCCACGCATTGGGGATAGGGACGCCACCTCCTGCCCATTATGACCTCCTTGCATGCATAACACGCAGTAGGACACTTTAAATATAGCGAAAAGTGCCAATGATCGGATCTTAGAAGAGGAGAGCCTTTGCCGACCTGTTCAGGAGCAAAGATACAGAATACCGCATTTGACTTTCGTTGGTAAAATATGCATCTTTCCGATACAACCGCATATTCCTCGAGTGAAGTACACACACATCGTTTCCTATCAGTTGCATGCGCCCTGGACACTTACAACTAGGGCCCACCAAATCTTTCGAAAAAACGTCCACAGTATAAACATATCTTCCAGAGAGGAAACACAGTCGATTCCACTGCATAATTCCGCCATGGCCGTGAATACGACTTAGTTATTTATTGGACCACATGGGAAGGGGATGGCCAAAGATGTATGTGGGACTAGAGGTTTTGAGGAAGGGGATTTCGTACGAGGGAAGTGATTGTTCGTGGCAGTATAGTATATAGGCCTCGCGTAAAACTATACAAGAAAAAAGTGAAACGGCTATAGGAAGGCTATAACAAAACAAGATATTGACTTAGCAGTAAAATGCAGGGTTGTAGGACGGCAAAACATCGTGGAATGCAACTGGGGTCTTGATGTCCGAGGCAAATATAGCACGAATGTCCCTTTTGGGATGTGAGGAGTCTGTCGATTCGGCAAGAAAGGTACACAGTCATTCGAAGTCATTACAAACATCGTCCCGAAGGATAGATACCATATGGACGTCTAAGATGTCTTGCATCCAAAGGTCCACAGTCGTTCGAAGTCATTACAAACATCGTCCCGAAGGATAGATAACATATGGACGTCTAAGATGTCTTGCAGATGTCTCGTATACAACTTGTAGATGTCCTAAAGATGTCTTGCAGATGTCTTCCAGACGACCATGCATAGGAATATCTGGGTTCCTTGCCAAGAGCGACCTATACCGTATACCTTTACTGAGCTCGCACCCCATTTTTTAACAGATCAAATGGATTGAGTAATAACGCTAATTGCGGGTTCTGCGGTCTCGAATAGATGTTTTAGTTCATCCCGTAAGGACCACAGCTAACTCATTTAGATGTGTTTTGCCGCATTAGCCTCAATGTCAGGACCACGCGCTTCGTGTCACACTTCTAATTGAAGGCTCATAAGAACCGATATCCACGAATGTCCTAATGCGGTATCCTTTCCGCAAATAACATATACAAATGACTGTATTAGCGGAAACAAGGAAGGACTACGTGTCCTCAAAACTGCATAACGGAAAAAAAAACAAAAAAAAAACATTTACTAGAGGCAGTCAGCGAGCGTTAACTTGAGCTGTAGAACACTGTTGGAACTATATTGAATAGCCATTGTAGGTTTTCATTTCAGTGTATTAAGTTGAATTATATAGACAGTGCATATTGGTCGACACGGGGTGAGTAACTTGTAACGACAAGTTTAGATGAGAGCGTCGGCTTATACGCAGAACAGAAGCTTCCTCGTGGTCATGTTCATTGCAAATAAGCTTGTAGAGTATCACACAATCCAACGAGATACCATGATCATGATAAGGTGGCAAGATCGGCATGATGGGCCTAGCGTTCTGAGCTGATGCCAAATAGAACAGGCTTCAAGGCTGGCCAACAGCAGATTTTGGTAAGACCGGGAGTTGTCAGTTGACAAGGAAATGTGAAATAGGCTGTAAGCGGCGCCGTCTACCCTTGGCCAGATCTGTCTCATAAGCCACCCTGGGCTCATAACTGGTGAACGCATGAGCAAGAGATGGACAAGGGTAAAGTATTACCAGGAACTCATGTCGTAACGTAAAACACAAATATTTGTAAACTCCCGTGCATGCGAACGTAGCTATAATAGAGCTTAGGACCATGCAGGCATTTGGATTTTTTTTTTTTTTTGCTTGAAGCTAAGCAGAACAGCCGGTAACTTCTGTGGCGTGAATGAAACGTTGTAATTGTAGTCGAATCCTAGACCTTTCGTAATGTAGATCCAAGAACCATTTTCGACGTCCTTCCCGTTTCCCGAAAGCGGGTCACAGTTTTGCTTCCGTCAAAAAAATTCATCGACGTCTACCATTCCGCTGGACAACGAAGAACAGTCATTGTTCAGCAATTCACAAAGAATGAGTAAACATGCGATAACAGTGGTAAGAACTGTGTTGCTTAACAAGACTCTCTACTAGATGCTGCTGTCAATCGTTATCACGGACATGTGTAATTGCTAGATACCACGGTAATAAAGTTTTTCTTGGAGATCATCATCTCGCTGCGAAAAAGTAACACTGCGTGCAATTGCACATGCCTCCCCATCCAAAGAACGTTTTGGCAACAAGATAACATGGAAGTATAAAACGCTCATGACTCACCGGCAGTATACTAATGACTTATACCAGGGTACATTATTCATTATTACAAAAAACGCATTGGTTCCAAGACAACAGCTGAACCTACGGCTCGGTAGGCTGTTGATGAGCAGAGATGTGGAGCAATAGTTGTCGCTGGAAGAAACTAATTTCATGGCGTGCAAGTGCACGTTCTGCTTAGCTCACAAGTGCAGTGGTTCCTGAAGATGATGAAACCACAGCACTAACTTCTACAATTACACGAACACATTAACACTCGCGGGTGAACCTTTCCTGGTGGGACTTCATTTCTGTCCTCTTGCGTTTGGCGGCACCCTTGAGGGGAAATTGATTTTGTGACTCGGCTGCATAAAGCCTAACAATGTGGCTTCGAGATATGCTGAGTTGTGACGCAGCTTATTTTACGTTGTGAGAGCACAGTAACAGTATTTCCTCAATATTTCGTGTTCAATGCAAGCCGATTGGTTGCCATACCTATTAATTCGACTAATGTCCTCCAGTACCCTAATATCCATGTCACCGTACACCAATAGCGTTCCGTCAAACATGGCGGCGCTGGGGTCAACTTCTACGGTCACTCTTAACCTCCGAACGCCGCTTGTTGCATTAGCAGACGACGCGGTATCAATTGCGGTCGTGGCGGCAATGTTTGCTGCAGATGATGATGAAGCGACATCCATGTTAGGACCGCTTTTAGCAGACGGCGGTGCCTGACTAGCAGTCAGTTCACGGGCGTCATGGATGCGATGCATATGCAGACGTGCGCAGCGTTGCGAGTGCTCTCCGAGTCCGTCTACGAGAAGTTGGTTCACTTTTTCAACAAGAGCCAGAGCTGATTTGGCAACCACAGGGTCCGACAAGTCGAGCGGCGTCTCTGAGTCGCAGGAACAGTACTGTGACGGCACTCCGGCTTGTTCGCAAGTCCGATTCGCTGGAATTGTCCGGAATAAACTGATGCCAAAGTCCGATACCCTTTTGTCCGTCTGCGACCCGTTCCGCCCCAAGGACAAGATGTCTCGCAAAGTCTCGTACGTGTCGTACGGGGACGTGAGCCTACCAGAGTTGAACCGGAAACTTTTAATCGGGTCCAAGTCGACTTCCGGGTCAAGCCAATCTGACTTGGAAGGGGGGCGCAACGCAAAGAAAGGCAGCCTTTCTTCTATGCGGCCCACAAATGTTTCCCTGATGGAGTCAAATCGGTGGCCGTGGTCGGAGAAAAAAAAGAGGAACGTGTTATCGAGGTGGCCGTCTGTCAACAACTCGGACAGAAAACTAACAAAGTCGTCGTCCGCGGCTGCTACCTGTTGCATGTACTCGTGGCTGATCTCCACAAGAAAGGAGAAGGCAAAGTAAGGGAGGCTCATGTTCCGCGACTGAACGAGGAAGCGCCGCAGGTACTCCATCTGGAGCTGATGCTTCACGACGTTTCCGAAACACAGGCTGGAGCTGGACCTCAGCAGGAAGGAATCTTCAACGGCCAGCCAAAAAGGCCGCAAGTAGAGATCCGTCGGTGGCCGCTCGAACCCTCGGGCGAGGTAGTTGAAGAGGCCGAACCGAGGGAAGTCCTCCGCAAAGAGAGTCCTGTAGCCGGCCTCGTGGAAGTCCTTCCACACAAGAGGCGTCCCGTCGAAAGCGTCACCGGTGGGGCCCGGATGTGACACCTGTCTGTAGGCCTCCAGTCCGGTGAGCAGAGCCACGAGGTTAGGGTACGTGTTGTCTCCTACCTTGTTCATGCCGCGGAACACAATGGCGCCGAGCTTGCGCGCCAGGAACTCGTAGGTCTTCGGAAGTAGCCGCATCATCGATAACCGAGACACTGAGTCCAAGCCGAAGATCAGAACGTTGGGTAAAACTTTTCTGCCATTTCCTGGCACCCTTTCAAACTGCCTCGGTAACGCTTGAAAGCTTTCCTGTTCGCTTTCCGGAAGACCGCCCTTATGTAGACCTTTAGTATGTTTCTTTTTGTCGTTCGCCCCTAGCTCGAGTCGTTGTCCAAGTTGTCGTCGAGAACCGCCCAGCTGACCTTTCCTATCCGGCAACCCTTGGAGTTCCTGCCCAGAGCCCCGCTGTATGAAACCGTTACTCTTCTGGTGATCCTCCTGGAGTCCCTCGTGCGATTTTATCCCCTTCCCGTCTTGAGAGTCGCGACTCGTCGACTGTTTCTTGTCATGTTTGGGTGGAGGTCTCACGACGGCGTGGATGTTTGTATAGACTGGAAACTCAATGAAGTTGCGACACGTGACCAATACGACGTCGTCAGTGAGTGGTGTGGGGTCTTGGCTGAAGGGCACCGGGTCCCCGTAATCGACGACGTCGTCGGTGACGCGCCGGATGGGCCTGTAGAAGCAGCGCAGTGAACCAAGGTCGTAGCCAGAGGTCCCGTTGAACCGCAGGTTTCCCCAGACGTCCACGTAAGTGAGCCAAGGTTGTCGAATCTGCGTTCAACGAGAGGTAAACGAGTGAGACTTTTTTGTAGCTACACCGAGAGAAACGTACACTCTTGGGAAAAAAATGGTCTATATATTACTCCATAGGGAGGAACGCCCTTGTCCTCTATGTCGCTTTAGAAACGGAGCAACGTTCGTCCCTGCAAACGGGAGAGCAAAGTTACTCCCTCGTCTGCATCGCAATATGGCGGCTAGCATAGTTTTTGGACAAGCAAATACAGCGCACCACCCGCGGCCCCATCAAGTCACTGGATCCTGGGAATGTAGCGCCATTGCCTTCCCTGCCTGCTAGCCGGACACAAGCAAATACTAGCATACAGACGACAAACTTCGCAAGGTGGTTGGCTGACCGGTCTCGATTGCCATGGCGATCGCCATTTGGGGCCATTCAAATTTCCGAAACTTCCAAAGAGTCGCTCCAACCAGTCGCACCAAGATTGCTAAGGAGCATCATCGTATCTGAAAGCGTTCCTCGCCAATATAAGCGTCTTTGGCACTGTGCATGCAATACGCTCATCTCTTACAATTATATTGCTCTTGCCTATTTCAAGACAAGAAATTTTGTTTTCAATGCCTTCAAGCACTGACGTTGCATGTGATGGCGGCACGAAGATGTACGCCATCACATGCGACGTCAGTGCTTGGATGCACTGAAAAGTAATGTTCCTGTCTTGAAATACGCAAGAAGAGCAATCAATATCACTCTAAGAGTTCTGGGAGATAAGCAACACTAACAAAGACGCTTATCTTGGCGAGGAACGCTTTCAGTACGATGATGCTCCATAGCGAACTTGGTGCGACTGGTTAGAACGACCCCTTGAAAGCTTCACGGACTTAAATGACCCTAAATGGCGATCACCATGGCAACCCATCAGTCAATCACCTTGCGAGGTTTGTCGTCCGTATGTTGGTATTTGTCTGTGTCCGGCAAGCAGGCAGGGAAGGCAATGACGCTCTTTCCCAGGATCCAGTGGCTTTACCGAGTGCTCGCTTAGCAGCACTCGCTAGACAAGTGGTCAGCCGCTTCGCACCCGTTCAAACAGCTAGCTGCTTTCGGAGTACGATGAGCAGAAAATAAAAACACGAGCGTTTTATACGCCGTATTTATTGTCGAAGCCAGCTTCCCGCGCAGGCGTGGAAATTTACGTTTCAAACTCAGTTACGCAGTCCTCACGTTGTCAGCACTTCTATAACATACGGAGTTCGCCGAAAACCGCCCACTTCGCGCACTTCAAGTTTTGCTTTTGCTATTCCTCCCGTCACAATTAATTTGTCAGCACAGCACAACACAGAGGAGTGGTAAAGCATAGCCTCCTTTATACTGACAATGCCTCCACAATCTCTGGCTTCCGCATGCCACCGCCAGGGGCGCCACCTCCCCATTCATTTGAGACGATGCTTGTCCGCTGCGCACTGGCTACTACCGTAACGTACGCGATCCCAATACGTTCGCTTATTGAACGCAAAGGTGCGACGAAGTTTCCTCCCGTCTGCCTGGAGAAAAAGGAAAACGTATTTTTCCTCCCTTCTTTTTGAGTCCGCTTGGGGGCGCGTCAGTTGCAGGGAGGAAAACGTGATGTTGCCAGCTTTCTCCTCCCTTTCTTTTTTAGAGTGTAGCACAACGGAAGTCATAACGTTTCTGCAAAGGCCTTCAAGCAGTGATTTCCCTACACACCCCGACCCCCTAGGGGGGTGTCACCCACCCTTTGTTTTTCTGAAGGCACCCCCTTAATTCGCAACGACTCCTCTATTCTAAATGCCCCCCCCCCCCCCCCTAAAAATTTAGACACCGCCCCTAATTTCAGTTCCTGGGGAAACCCCTGCCTTCAACGACTCGGAAGGCAAAGGCAGTGTAATACGAGACTGGCAACAGGGGACACCAAAATACAGCGTTCACAGGAGCAAGAGGATACCCGGCACGGAAAGCAGCAAAGCTCAACGCATCCTCTTAGACTCAGTACTTGCTGAAATATGAAATTATACCGAGTAAATATAAAAGTATAGATTTCAGCGCAAAATGACGGCTAAAACGTTCCGTAGAAAGAGGTCGGAAAAAAGTTAAATTCTTGCCATCGATAGTATAGAGCAGGCCACTTGCGTTGACGTCAATAAAAAGGCCCTCTGACGCAACGGAGGCTGGAGCTAAGGGAGAGTGAAAGCGGAACATAAGGACGGGAACACTCCGCTGATCTGCATTAGCCGCCAACACCAGCGCTGTGGTGTGTGCCCGAGAAGGCATCCGCATGGCGCTGTCCAAGCGGCACCGAGGGAACAGCCGCCGGCGCGCCGAGATCAAGAGACGGCTGTCTCGACTGGGGCGCTCCAACGCCACTAGATGGCGGCAGTCACCCCTCCCAATTCAAAGGATAAAGAGGCTTCGCTGCACGCACCCAGCCGTTCCAACTGCGCGGGGTCTGCCCGTATTCTTCCGTAGTAAGGAGGTCGATGGAGCCAACATCCTACGTCACAGACTGAGTGAGTTGTTTCGTCCCCTGAACTATCGACGTACCTGTACGTCCCCTAACCCCCATGCGGAGTAGACAAATTGTCTACTCCTCATTGGGCCGGGATATAGACCTTGTCCACAAGGGCGCCGCCATCTTGAATTGACGTCACTTCCAGTATGGGCGAAAACGTAACTTCGCCGTTGCCACGCCAATAGAAGACATTTAGGATATAAGCCTAACCGTCACACATTCTCGTTTTGGCTCGCCTCTATTTTTTTACTAGTTACAGGTTGAAACGTTTTACTTTTTTTTCGTCGCCCATACTGGAAGTGACGACAATTCAAAATGGCGGCGCCCTTGTGGACCGTTTTATCCTGGGTAGCGCCATTTTGAGAGCGAGAGAGAAGACGGGAAAGGGCTACCGGCGCTTTCCCCCTTGCTGGTGCGTTAGAAAGAGTGAGAGTCCCGGATGAGAGGCTTCGCCGGTGTTGGGTTTATGCATTGCCCGAACTTCGTTCGTGATTTCTTCTCTGTTTTAAACTCCCCAACTTAATTAGAGTCACGGGCTTGGATGGCGACAGTCCCCCGGTCATCGGGACACCATTGCTTGTTACATGGCGCACGAATAACGACAGAAAGCGTCGAATACTATCCGAAGACCTACGTAGCTTGCACAGAATGTGGCAAGTGCGGCTGCAATGTCTTTAAAGGGGCCCTGCAAGGACTTTTTTTACTGGTTTTTAATTTGCACCGAACGTGAGCGCACTGAACGTAGTAACTTAATGAAACTTTCCTTTTCGAATTTCGCTTTATTTTAAAAGTTATAGGCAAATTAAAATTACAAAAACAAGTAAAAGTAACCTCCTTCATGACGTCCTTGGTTGCTTGAGTGGCCGTGAACTAGAGGAGGGATAGCGAGCTTATTGAGCACTCACGGCTGCCGCACTCCGTGTCGACGGCTCGAGAGGGCGCCACTAAAGCATGATCTGGCTAGGCTGTATGAAACGGGCAGCCAGGGCGGCTCGCATTACATTTGCTGCGCGATTAAACACTAATTCGGCATGACACTTCATTGGCCACAAACGACAGAAAACACGGGGTAAAGATCAGTTCAGAACGGGAGCCACTTCGCGCTGCCATACCGCCAAAAGGCCAAACCGCAGCCAAAGCTGCTCGCCGAAGGCCTTAGGAACGCTCGGAACCGGTCAGATCCTCCAGTCCGTATGACCGCAGCGCCGCCGCGTACATCCGGGACCTTTCAACTCTCGCTGCCCGTCGGTACCTGATCTCACTACACCTTTTTGCGCCGCCTTTTCCACCGCTTGGTGGCGGGTATGTCGACGGGTCATTTCTTGTTTCCGTACTTTCTGAACTCCATGTGTTTCTTTTCTTATCTACAATAGTGAACAAAAACTACTTTTATACATAATTGAAACGGTTCGCGCCACTTATATTTAGTATTTCGACTAAAAATAAGCTTTTAGCGGCTCTGACCGGTAGTAAGGCCAGGGCCAAAGACGTCACATATTCCGCGCTTTCGGCAATGCGGGTCGCCCCCGTAGGTGGAGGAGGTTTCCGCGTCGTCCGGTTAAAATATGACGCACTGATATTTAGTTACTCTTTCTTTATTGGTTTTCCATTTCATACAGAATGGAGGAGGCCGAGGAAAAAAGCTACAAACGCAGCTTGTGGGGCCCTCGGCCCCCTTTAAATGATGGCAGCATTGGACTCACAAAACACTCACACACAGTAACAAAACGCTTCCTGGTCAATCAGATTCACTCATTCGATACAGCTCCACACATTAGTATACAGTTGCAATTTAACATGATTAGGTCGGGTAAGGAACACAAAACAATTCTAGGAAATAGCTCGTTTTCATCTCAGGCAGTTCTAAGGGCACCGGTATCAGAAAATGAACATAAAAGATATCTCAGTTCAGAAGGGGTTATAGAGGATATATCGGTGCCAGCCTCCTCAAATGAATTTAGTAGTCGAGGCAAAGTATTCCTAAGCATTTGGTCACCATAATTTGTCCGAGAACGAGGAACTATCCATGGTTCTGGAGTTCGTGTTTTATGCGAAGGTTGCCTTTTTTCTAAGTTTCCTATTTCTAAGAGTGTAGAGGTATTTTTCCTAATGCTATAATAAAAATCTCGCATAAGCCTCCTTCGGTATATGTCATGAACTTTTGGAATGTTATATTTCTTGAAAAGGTAGTCAGTATGTTCGGTGTATGAGACATTGGCAATAGCGCGTATCATTCTCTTTTGCATTAAGTGTAATTTATAGAGGTTAGATTCTGTTGTTGTGCCCCATACAAGATGGCAATAGTTAATATGAGATACAAATAGCGTATTGTAGATTAATAATTTAACTGATTCCGGAAGAATATACCTATTTCGATTCAGTATACCAGCTATTTGACTAAGTTTGACTAGTACAAAGTTAACATGCTCGTCCCATTGCATGTTACTGGAGAAGTACATGCCAAGCACTTTTATAGTGTCCAAAACTTCGATGTTTGTGTGATTAAACGCT